AGAAATCTTAATTGAAATTAGCATTCTTCTAGTGATATTAGAAGATAATTCTCGTTCTGTTTTTTCCTTCCTTAGAACATGCCCTATTTGTCGAGTACCTTCTGCATTTGTTACTCCGGTAAGCCATTCCTCTTTCGCGGTTTCTTTTTCAGTTCACTAGCCATTGAAAGAGCCATCGTTTAAAGGATTTTCCTCAAAAGAAATTCGTTACTCTTTTGAGTGACATCAGCTTTCCTGCTGAACAAACACCGGTCATGTTTTGTTTATTTTAACCACCCAAATTGCGTGACGTCATTTATAACATGCGTTTAAGTCACGTGAAGCTGGCTCAATTAATTAGGGACTGCGTTGCTTGCAACTCGCTCGTCACTTGGATGAGAGCCCGTCTGTTCAGCCGGAGGTCGTGAGTTCACTCCCGGCCGGACCACCAGAAACTGGGCAAGAAAGTGCTCGTTGTGCTTAAGAGTACTTTTCTCAGTTTAGGTGATCGTTTCTTAAGCGGTGACGTTTAGTTATTGGCTAGTCTTCTTTATCCTTACATATTTACATTTACATACAACTGTTTCAAAAAACGTTGTCGGAAGAAAAATAAAAAGCCTTTAAGCCAAGACTGCAAGGTGGTATGTGATTTCTAATGACGTGCAATTCCTGCTCTGATAAAGGAAGTGTTGGGCCGCAGGGTATGAGGTACATGGAGTAGGCTGTAGAGGCCGTTTTATGCACGTCCCTGCACATTATGTTAGCGTCGTGGGTTGAAGACTTTTTGCTTTTCTTCCGACAACGCTTTCAAGGTTTATATCAGTTACAAGCAGGGCTGTCAATAAGTTTTTAAGCAGCTGTTTCATTAAAGGTGTCACCCGTAGCATGTCTGTACGTGGCACGCTAGCGTGGACTTCGAAATAGGAAAGTGGCACCGTTCCTAATTCTTATGTTATAACTCAACTAAAAGGGATTGGCGTTTGTACATTCTAGAGTGAGATATGGGTCGAAGATCCAGCAGAGAAAAAGAAGCTTATTGGCGGTTATAAAGCAGCTTTGAAGTAAGTGGCCTGTTTATTGGTGTTGATGTTGTTGTTGTTGTAGATGTTGTTTTTTCAAAGAAATTTAGGTCGGTTTAATCTTGTGACGTAATTAATTGTGGTTAATTGAGCGAGTTAGTGAGAATTTCAACTGGCAGCCTGTAGTACATACTGCAATTACAAGCGTTTTGGACTGTTTGTCATAGACGAATCTCTTTGTTCCTTTTTTTGTCTCATTAACATATGCTCATAATTATCTAACGAGGCTAATAAAATAAAACCTCAGAATATTGAAAGAGCAGAACAATTTCAGTTGTCTCTTAAAATTTGAGCCCGATATACCGAATGGTTTCGGAGAAATTCTCTTTTGAAAACTCAAAATTTTACAAAGATGTATGGCTCATTTACGTTTTAGCCACCCAACAATTTCGCAATTTTCGTTGGCTGATATTTCCTTCAATATTTATTTCTTGCAAAGAGCTGAAAAATGCACAAATTACTCAAGTTAATCAGCTCTTTCAGCTTTTGAATTTAGTTCGTATGTACGGGCAGGGCTTCTATGAGTTAAGTCGTATGCTAAAGAGGAAAACTATAAACATTGACGTCAGCAAAGATTTGCCATTTGTTCTAGCAGTATATGGATTTTGGAAACTAGCTGTATCTTCGTTTTGCAGGGAAAAGCCTTGTAGATATTTTGCGCAAGGAACGGGGACATGTCCGTTTGGATCCAGTTGCTTCTATAAACATGGTAAGAAACGTGCCGTGCGTACATAAATACATGCTGTAAATCAAGTATTGTTACATTCGATATCTCTAGTAGCTCTCTCGCAGTCGTTTTGTGTCGTCACGCAACGCTGCCCCTTCCTATTGCGTGATTACACCATGTCCCTAGATGCAATTCGTTTGTCATTTGACGTAAACGTGATGCGTAACCTCTATTCGTTTGTCTGTTACGTAAGGGTCTGGACGGGGAGCTCCTGATCCCGCATCCCGCACTTTCCCGAATGCCGTTTTTCTTTTTTTTACCTCAAAATACATACGCTAAAAAAGACTAATTGTTGTTAAAGCTAATAACTCTAAGATGTAGATTGGCTCTTTCGATCCCGCATCTCGTGCCCAGATTTTGGTGAAGTCTGTTTCTCGGGTAACAGTCAAATTTACAAAATGAATTACACAGCCGTGACAAAACCCCTTTCATTTTCAGCTTATCCAGATGGAAGAATCGAAGAAGTGAAGTTGAGGCATTGTAATACTTCTCGAGGAGACTCAAAAATCATAGAAACGTACAGGTTAGTTAAAAACGTCAAACTCCGAGTATTAAGCAAAATAGCCGGTGAGATGTTGTGAGCAGACTGCTGTCATCTCCCTTCTTAATTGCTGGTTTGCACGTGACGTCACGGGAGCCATGTTGATGGTCAAGAACAAAAGCATTTCTCTCCTCTGGGAACTAAATTGTTTTTTCGTGTAAATTCTTAGAGAAAAATTTCTATGGTATTGACCCCCAAACTGGCCGCTTTGTCACGTGGCTGCAAACCAAGAATCGGTTCTCCTTCCCATACCAATAACGCACTGGTTCCAGTTTTTCAAAAGACGGATAAGGCTATCCACTGGATAACGCAATTGTTTCTCCTAATACTTATCCGCTGGATAGTGACTTATCCGTTGGATAGCGTTATCCAATGTCAAAACAGCTAGGGCCTGAACACTACAATTGGGAACGTAAGATTCAAGGACAGCGACGGTATCGAAAACGTCGCTCTAAAAGTAAAAACGTGTTGTTTCAATCTAAATGCGATTATTCCATTTTACTTACGTTGTCAAATGTAGGCGAACTCTCCAGGAGTTGAATTCCTATGAACCATATCCAAGTTCAGAAAGAGAAAGTAAACTTCGTGGTGGCTTGTTTACGTCCTCCATAAAACGAGAAAATTAGGCATTTTCACGTCGTAGTCGTGCAGTGGCGGTGAAGAAATGTACAAAAAAAGCGTGATGCACGTGCAGAGTTGTTGTTTTGTTTTTTAAGCCTACAGAGCGTTTTCACTAACGAGGCCAGCATCTATGCTAATTTATAGGAACAAAAGAAAGCGTTTACATAAGAAAAGAATTCAACTCCCAGAGGATTTTCTTGGAAAACCAACATGGCCGCCGTTTCATTGTTTTTGGAACATCAATATGGCCGCCGTGACGTCACTCATGTGAAAACGCTCGGCCGTCGCTTTTGTTCGATCGCAAGTCCCCCATAATAAAGGCTAAAATTGCAAGAGGTTCTAGAAGTAGGCCTCTGGTCTACCATAACCTTGTGAAAGACAGGATTACTCCAGCATTCTACTGCAAAAGAGAATCTTTGCTTCCTTCTCTATGTAGCGAATTTCGCGCCCATTTCTTTGTAACACGATAAACTGACTAAGTCATTATCCACTGTACAAAGCAACTGCTTTCCTAATATCTATCCACTGGATAGTGATTTATCCAGTCAATAGCTGTATCCGTGTGTTGAATAACTGACGCCTGATAAAAAAGGTTGAGCCATACGCTGTGAAAATTACACCTTGTAGTAAACGTCGCAAAAATGAAGTCGACGCTGGTCGCCTTGTTCACTCATAATGCTTGAGTTATTACTGAGATTACTTGCGTGGCAAGTTTAAGAATAGGATGAAGTGCTTTCAAAGCCAGTTTATTTTCTCGCCGATACTCTTTTTAGATGCGTTGCTTTAGTATTATTTTATAACCCCTTCGTCTTATGTCGTCAGATTGTGGGATTTTCTGGAAGCTCTCGAAGAAGAAAGAACAGGAGGAGAATTCAGTATAATTGTTTGGACAGACTCGGATTCCGACTCTGATTAAGGAAAGAGCGAAGGACATGGGTGTCAAAGATGGCCTATGATTGCTACTTCGCATCGGTCATGCAAGCAGAATTTCTTGAACAAGGGACTTCATTCCACCTCGTCTCCCACCGCGAAAGTATTTATGGATGCCGCCGACCGACATCCTCCCTGGTGATTACCCCGAGACTAACCTTCATCGCATCCGGGTGTGGGGTGCGGGGAGAGGGCTTGGGGTTTAGAAATTTTTCTAGTCGTTTCAATTTACAAAACCAGACTAACTTGTTGGTGCCTTGCAGAACGGGCGCTATTTGGTCGCTCGAGAAGCGGGGCATTAGGTTTGGGTAGACGAATTATTTTCCCCTTATTTCATCTCGTTGGAATAAGCCCAGTTATGTAGATTACCTTGAAAAGTGCCCGAAACATCCTGGAAGACGTTGTAGTTTGAAGTTTTCTTTTAAAGAGGCTGTGTCATTGGAGTCCAGTTCATTTTTTTGCAATTATTACCTTTATTTATCCGCTGTGGAAGTTAACGTTAGTGATTCAGTCACTTTTAAATGGCAAAATCACAGCTTCCAGTTCCTGATAAAAAAAATGTGTCCCTGGTGTTACATTTGTATTTATATAAGAAAACAGAGATAAATTTCGAAAAACCGTTCGGCTGGACAGTTTTCAAAAACCCCAATTACAGTCCATTCAATCTTCTTCAATTTTACCAATCCTTGCCCCCTTTCCATTTTCTGTGTGTTCTGCTCAATTACTGCGTTTGGTTAAATATTTTGACACAGCTCCTTTAAATGACTTCCCAGTTGGTAAAATTTGTAATTTTAAAGTCCATAGCTAGGCTGTATTGGAGACAGCCAGGAATCTTGATTCTGTTAAGCATACAAATGCATAGAAAATCCTGAAAATTTTTGATGGGCTATCCTATAGTCCTTTATAAATAGCGGTGCTCGAATGGGAAGAGATTTAAAGAGCGCTAAAAAATTGTTCTTGTCATTCAAATTAGGTGTCCTAGCTTTGTGAAATGGATTGTGTAATTTATTTTGTGCATTGCGCTAGACTGCGAGCAAGCTCTTCAAGGAGGACCATTGTAAAGGCCCGGGGTGGGGGTGTGCCGCTGGGACCCTTAACCTATACCAGAGCTAGTTCAGCTAAATTTTGCTACCCTATACTAGAGTAAACTCCCCAAATCCCCTCTATCCTAGCGTAGCTGTTTCCCTAGATAAAATCTTCAACCAACTGATCAGTTTCCTGAAAAATGATACCCTATTCTAGACCCAAACGCTCTGATTTATATACCCTATCCTAGAGTAAACTGCTTGAAAACCATACCCTTCACAGCGGCACATACCTATATAGCCCATATATGGCAGACGCAGTACCCCCCCCCCCCCCCAGGCTTAAAGGTCACGCGGACGTGATTGTCGCAAAACGAAAACCCCCTTTCCCTCTGCCATTCGAGACGGAGAACTTGCTCGCTGGCTTTGGACTGCAGTGCTTTAATCTCAAAAGATGTACAGTACGGAATATTTCTCGAAATTTATTAAAAGAAAGGTGTGAGCATACCATGTGTCACTTATTCATTGACTTAATGTATAATCTATTTCATTCTGTTTCCGTTTGCTTGTAATCTATACAGATAAACGGTCAACGGTTGAACACTTTGTTTTTATGGGTGTGTTTTGAATTCAACGAGCGAAGTTGAGTCGACCAAAATCTACCTTTAACCTTCCACTGTTTTCGGCAAAAAACTATTGCCCTTAAGTTTCATACAAGTTTGTTAGCCCTTCTTCCAGTGCCGATACTAATTTAAAAACATTAAGAGCAGAAATGGGCCTAAGGGGGAACCCTAGGGTACAGCATACAAGTATGAGAACGTACGCGAGTTTCAAGTTCATCATACGAGATCTATATACAAGAAAACGCTTGAACCCACCCCCCAGGATAGGAACACCACGGATTCCATATCTGGATAATTTTTGTAGGAGTATCTGATGATTGACAGAATGAAAGGCTTTTGTTGATAGGAAGATACTGCAGATAATTTCAGTGATTGTCGGCAAGTTCGAGTATGGCTTGTTCACTCAATTTTTTTAGTAAAACAAATTGGTCCTTGAAGGTGGTATCCTCTGTTCAAGATGTGGTTCAGCTGATTATAAGCAAATGGGAAAGAATCACAGAAATGCAAATGCAGAAAGCCTCCATTCTCTAAGAACAGACCAGGTTAAAAGCAGGAACAAGACCAACAGGGAGCCCAAAGAGTCCTTTCCATTTATTAAATACATATACATAAAATTAATGTTTAAAAAATAACGCTAAAATACACTCGTTGTTGGGCAGATTTTCTTAATTATGTATTCTTCACAAACAAAAGGGTACCTATATCATAATCTGACTAATGTGATCTTTAAAGAATATTTCATCCTGATGTTTCTTATTGGAATGCCTTTAAAAAGTCTTTCCCTCTTTTCGCGCTCGGCAGCGGTATGTCAACCTTCGTTCAAAAGGTTGACAGAGATATCCAGTGGATAAAACACTATCTATTTTCCTAACTCCTAGTCACCATATACTATCCAACATTTGATTTACCGGGGCCTGGACATAGGTAAGAAGCTACCAAGAGGACCACCACACTAGAACTACCCACAAACAGTACACCAAGATAAAAGCTCGATAGAGAGCGGGCTTAAGCTAGACACAAACATTTCAAAAGAAAAGGTTGGACAATTGGTAACAAAACTAACCCCTTCTAAGTAAGTACGCAATCCCTACTGTCTGACTGGCGGTGTTGTTGCTATTCCATAGAAGCGACAACGCTCGGCTTTTCATGATGTGGGATAGTGTTACTCCCACAAAGATGAAGATTGACTAATCCTAGGCTTCATTCGTCTCTTCGACCCTTTCAGAACCGTAAGTGTACTGAAGCTGTACGCAAAATTTTGCAAAACTTGGACAAAAAAACCCATACCAGAATTATAAAGATACTATGGAAGAGAGTTCATTAGATGTTTCACAAAGAAATCACCTCAGATCCGGATATTAGAACAACATTAAAGAAATGGTCTGAATCTGGGAAAGAGAGAATGTTCTCAAAACACAGGACAGTATTTCCCATGTTTCTCAATGGGGGCAGGTCCTCCATGTTCTTCATCTTAAGATTCTTTGATGTGTTTCCACGCGAAAAAGACTGGTACGAGTGGAATTGTGAGCTGTGTCACGTGTTCGGATGAGA